ATACAGACAGTTGTGAAAGGAGAATGAAGCTCTTGTCACCTGGCCCAAGAAATGGAAGGCATTAATCTGATAGAAGTGTTCATGATTTCCCCAGTATCACGTGTAAATGCCGAATTGCAAGTAACTGGAATTTTCTCACTGTTGCTTCCTCTTCATCAGTGTGGCATTATAAACATGATCTCATGTTCATGGATGATTTCTACTTTGGGGGAACTCACTGATAAGGGAGGGACAGGCAGTTAAAAACCAGCTGTAATACTTTGTAATAAGTATTAGGAACATATGCTCCTTTGGGAATGTGAGGGAGATAATGATATTCCTAAGGAGATAGCAGCATTTTAACAATGTCATACTGCCCGGCTGGGCGTGGCTCAGCAGTTAAGCATTGACCTAGGATCCAGGCGATCAGGGTTCGATTCCTAGTCAGGGCACATGCCCGGGTTGCGGGCTGCAGCCGATCAACGACTCTGTCATCATTGATGTTTCTATCTCTCTCTCTCCCTCTCCTTTCCTCTCTCTGAAATCAATAAAGATATATTCAAAAAAAACAATGTCAGCCTGGAAATAGAGGAAAAGATTGCCGTATATTATGGAAAGGAGCCAAAGGTTTCTTTTTCTCTTTTAAACTTAGTTTTTAAAGATTGCTTATATAGGTATTCTCACTGGTCAAGAGAATTATTTTAAATGGGTGTTACGGTAAAGTAAAACTATGTTTAGTTGATAGACTACTTTGACTATAAAATGCAGAGGGAATTGGCATTTTTATCTGCAAGCTCAAATTCTATTATATAATAGGTGACCTGGGTGAATAGATTAGTGCAGGTACAAAAATAGAATTTGGGCTATATTATTAATGTGTACTTCCAAACACTTGTCCTTTCCAAACATAATAGTTCTTAAAATGAGAGTATATTTTCAAATGACATCGGATAAAGGATCAATAACCAAAATATCTAAGGAACACATACAGTTCAGTAACAAAAAATAATACTATAAAAAATGGGCAGACAATGAATATACTGAAGAAAAAAAAGGCAGAAAGACATTTCTCCAGAGAACACATACAAATGGCCAACAAACATGAAAAGATGCTCAACATCATAAATCATCAGAGAAATGCAAATCAAAACCACAATGAGATATCACTGCACCTGTCAGAATGGCTGTCCTCAGTAAATCAACAAACAAGTGTTGGCAGAAATGGGGAGAAAACGGAATCCTCATACACTGTTGGGAATGCAGATTGGTGCAGCCACTGTGGAAAACAGTGTGGAGATCCCTCAAAGAACTAAAAATACATCCAGCAATTCCACTTCTGGGTATTTACCCAAAGAAAGCAAAACATTCAGAAATATATATATACCCTTGTGTTCACTGCAGCATTATTTACAATAGTCAAGCTATGGGAGCAACCCAAATGCCCATCATTAGATAAATGGATCAAAAAAAGTGATACAATAGAATATTACTAAGTCATAAAAATAATGAAATCTAGCCCTGGCCAGTGTGACTGAATGGATAGAATGTTGGCCTGTGAACCCAAGGGTCATGGGTTAGATTCCCAGTCAAGTGCATGTACCTGCGTTGCAGGCTCGATTCTCAGCCCCAGTCAGGGCTCCTGCAGGAGGCAACCAATCAATGTTTATCGATGTTTCCCTCCCTCCCTTCCACTCTCATCAGTGTTAAAAATATCCTTGGGTGAGCAATACCAAAAAATAATTGCCATTTCGGACAACATGGATAGACCTAGAGGGTATTATGCTAAGTGAATATAAGTTAGAGAAAAAAATACTGTACAGTTTCACTTATATGTGGAATCTTAAAAAAAATAAATGAACAAACAACAAAACCAGACTCCAGAAACAGAGACCAAAGGGTTGGTTGCCACAGTGGAGGGGGATGAGGGAATGGGTGAAAAGTGGAAGGGGAATATAGTCAATAATATTGTGGGAGGTTCACACAGTGACAGATGATTACTAGAATTAGTAGGATGAGTGATCACACTGTAAGGTATAAAGATGTCTAATCACTGTATTGTATACCTAAAACTAATATAACCAATATAATATTGTATACCAACTATACTTAAATTTTTTAAGTCAAAAAAATTGAGAGTATAATATTATGAAGTAGATTATGAGCTTATGCAAGTTAGAGGGAAGTAATTGTTGGTTAGGTCCCATTTTGAAACCAATAACTGGCCTAATTTAGGAAAACGTTGTGTCATTTAATAGCATGTCTAGGTCAGGTTCTTTGATATCAGAAACTAGCCCAAATGAGCTTTTTAGTATCTTATGAACTCCACTGTGCCTTGTGGTACACAAGTCTGGGTGAAGGTAAAGTTGTAGGTTATGAAGCCTCTGGATTTCTACAGGGACGGAGACTTGCTGTTAGTCTCAAAGACAAAAATCAACATTTAGAAGCTGACTTTTGAAGGAATATTTTTAGCTGACATTTATGCTTCTCACAAATAGAGTTTGAAACAGCTGAGACACTTCTAAATTCAGAAGTTCACATGCTTCTGGAACATCGAAAGCAACAGAATGAGAGTGCAGAGGATGAACAGGAACTTTCTGAGGTCTTCATGAAAACTTTAAACTACACAGCTCGTTTCAGTCGTTTCAAAAACAGAGAGACCATTGCCAGTGTCCGTAGGTGAGTGCTGAAAGAAAGTTTTTATTAATCCAGAAACTATGGGACATCTGCAGGTAGAATACTACCCCCCCCAATCTGTAGGTTTAATGTATGTAAAATTGTCAAAATTTAAAAATTGCTTATAAGGCTAAATTTCTCTTTTGCCATCTTCTCCTATACCCCGAATCCCAGTTACCTTGCAAAGTAACTATTGTTAGCCGGTTGTTAGCCCTTCAGATCTTTTTTCATGCATTCGTATATATATGCCTATAAAAATACAAAATGGCATTGTTTTCTGTGTGTTTTTTTAATGAAGTGGGCTTATTTATTACTAATCTGGAATGTCTTAGAGGTCTTTGTAAGTTAATACATTCTTTCTGGGTCTTCATTTTACCTTTCAAAATCAAGATGGCCAGCTTTCAGCACTTTTTCCTAAGACATTGCTTCTCAAATTGGGTTGGATGTGCCCCTGGGAAACTGATGTGCTGTGGGCATTGGAGCCACAGGTAGAGCAGCACACCTTCCTGAAATGTCAGTTTTACTGGATGGTAGGTGATTTAAAACATTTTACATTAAAGCAAACAGATACCAGCATGTTATGGACTAAAACAAAAAAATACATATGAATTCTTTTTTTTTAAATATATCTTTATTGGTTTCAGGGAGAGGGAGAGAGAGAGATAGAAACATCAGTGATGAGAGCGTCATTGATCAGCTTCCTCCTGCACACCCCATACTGGGGGTTGAGCCCACAACCTAGGCATATGCCCCGATGGGGAATTGAACCTCAATCTCCTGGATCATAGGTTGATGCTCAACCCCTGAGCCATACCAGCTGGGCTATATGAATTCTTGAATTAACTCATGAGAGTTAAAGCCTTGCAGTTGCAGAAAGTCATTGGAGCCTCTGCCCCCAGGTTGCCTACAGGTACTTGTTTGCTCTGTGCTAGTGAAAATGTTGGGAAGTATTGTCCTAAGGAAAAGCAGACGGAAAAAGATGTATATCATAGATAGTTTTCAGGGAGCTCTTTATAATAGTCAAAGCTAAAGCAACCTAAACATTCAGCAGTAATTAAATACATTGTGGTAAATCCATTTGATGGGCTACTATGGTGTCATAGTGGTAGAAAATGAAATGGAAAGATGTTCACATATGTTAAGTGTGCAGAAAATGAAGGTGGTAAACCTTATGTGAAGTAGAGTCTGTTCTGACAAGTGTGGATGTATGCATGGAGAAGAGATAGAAAGGAACTATGTAGAGCTTCCATACAAAACTCCAAACTGTTGGGCCTAAAAGATGACTTGAATAAATGAAGGTGGACTTACACATTCATCAGTGAAAAGTCTTTATATTGTAAAAATGTCAGTTCTCCCCAAATTAATGTATACATTTGCCATTCTAAATCCTCAAGAGAATTGAGAGGGGGAGCTGAATGAAATAACCTTAAATTTGTAAGAATTGTCAAAATTTTTAAAAAAGAAAAATGAAAGGGAATTTTCCTTATGGGATGTCAAAATACATTAAAAAGTGACAGCAATTAAAATAATACAGTGACACTTTGCCATGAAATAGATCATTGAAACAGAATAGAAAAGTCAGAAATATTAAAATACAAATTTATTATATTTTATATGAGTTCAATATATTGTAAAAATGGCACTAAATTAGTGGGGAAATATTTTGCAACAAAACTTGAACTGTATATTACACCAAAATAAATTCCTAAGAAATTAAGAATTTAAATGTAAACTGAGACATAAAAGTACCATGTAACAACATGAGTGAATGTATATATTATCTTGGCTGTGGTTTAGTAAGACTTTATTTTAAATTTATCTTTATTGTTCAAAGTATTACAGATATCCCCTCTTTTCTTCCCCCATTGATCTCCTCC